ACAGTAGTGGTAGAAGAGGAGAGATAAATTATTGTTTTGGAGAAATTAGAAACCATAGAGGGAAGAGGAATAGAAGGGGAGAGGAGGAGAGAGAATGAAAAAGTGAGTGTGATATATGAGTGTAGATGAAGGACTCTAGTTTATAAAGAAAAATATTATAGACCTCTCTAATTATTAAAAGTTTAAAAGAGATATTAGACTAAATATCCCTTTATCTATTTTAGATAATAGATAGACACTAAAATAAACATATATATATATATTAGTTGAAAGTAAATGACAATATTATTATTTTTTATTTATATAATTAATGAATTATTGATAAAAAATAATCTAGTTGCTACGTAAATTTAAATTAAAGAGACCAATGAAAATATATTAAAAATGTGAACTTAACTATATATTTTTAAATTTTAAGAGAAATGAATGTAATTTATCAATATAGTTAAGATTATTTTGTTGGGTGAAAGTAGCAGTGTGAAAAAGATTTGAAAGTTTGTAAAATGAGCCATTTTTTTAACACTTAGGTTGAAATGGTTAAAAGTATTATTGTATATTTAATATAAAATGAAGTTAATAAGAATTGTAATTTTTAAATTTAATTAATATGTGTTTTAAAAACATACATTAATAAAAATTTATTGTCCAATCAAATAAAAGAACCCTATTCAAATTTAAAGAAAATTACACTTTCGCTATTATGAAAATATTTGTATTTATTTTTGAAAAAATTAGTAAAACACTGCTCTTCAACTTTGGATAACAAGAGAAATCCAATCACTATGCTTGGTTATCATTTTTTTAAAATACTTTTCAGAAAATTCTAATTTCTTATTTTTCGTGTTTTTTTGTTTTTACTGATTTTTTTTAATATTTTGAGTAATTTTTTAAATTTTTAGACATACCTAACATAAATATACCTAAAAAGTAAAAAAAAAAAATTTGAAAAAAACCTTTTAAAAATTCACTAAATACCAAAAATTCATATTTTTTTGTATTTTTATGTATTTATTAATTTTTAAAAATATTTTTTCACAATTTTTTTACTTTTTAGAAACATCTAAGTAAGGTGCATCTAAAAAAGTAAAAAAAAAAATGTTTAAAATTTAAAAAATATTCACTAAAAATAAAAAAAATACGAAAATAAAAAAACTCAATTTTCAAAAAACTTAATTCAAAAAACTCAAACCAAACACACTGAATATGTTTTTGTTTTATTTGTTAATGTCCTTCGATGAAATTTCTCTGCGATCACATCAGAGAAATTTTCCTGTAAAAATTAAAATTTCTCTGTTCAGGACAAATTTTTTTTATATTAATTTTTTTTTTACGAAAATATTGAGAGATTGCAACTATTCTAAAAATATTATATATCATTATAAAATTTTAATATCATAAACTTTTAAACAAATTCCCCAGTCCATGTTATTCTTACTGAGGATTCATTAACCGGCCCGAGATCTCATAGCTTGGGTTTGTTTATTTTGGACAGACCTCATTGAAACTAGCAACCCACTCAATCTGAGATCGGGTCTTTGCGTATAGTCCCGTTTAAAAATAGTCTATTTTAGCTGACTTCTTAGGTCTCGTTTGGGAACAAATTATTTTAATAATTTTTTAACTTTTTATGAAAAGATATGCAGAAAAGTAGAGAAGTGATGTGACTAGTTTTAGTTGACTTTTTGGCTAAAATAGTCAGTCCCCAAACGAGGCCTTAATATTGAATTTTTTTTTATAGTATTAAATTTTTATATGATAAAAATTTTATAATATTTTTTTAGTGATTGGAGTCTTTTAATATTTTTTCAAAGAAATTCCGATCAAGAGAAATTTTGATATAAATTTCTCTGTGCTTTAAAATTTCTTTGGTTTGTTTAATTTCTTTAATTTTCTTCGTGTCTTTAAATTTTCTCTGTATTTTGAAAAATTTTCAAGTTGAATTTTTTTTGATTTGTTCACAATTTTTTCTATGTTTTGACCAATTTTATCTAGTTTGCTTACAATTTTTTTTGTGTTTTGATTAAACCAAAAAAGATTATGTTTTAACTCAACAAGAAAAAATTACAAACTGAACATACAGAGCAACCCTCATTCACATAATCTTCTCTTAAAAATTCATTTCCTATTTTTGTTTTCCATACATTAATTGAAATTGCTCCGACCAATAATATCATTGTGAACAGTATTAATTGCTAATCTAAAAAACTATGGTTCTGGGTGAGCAAAGACGGTGTCACCCAACCTGCAGCAATTGGTAGCATGATAGAAGTTAGATTAATTGATAAACAGTCATAAACCCTTGTTTTTTTTTTTTGCTTTTTTTTTAGCATATATAAGCACAGCCAAATAAAACACCATGCACGTATCCTTTACTATAAATCGTATTCCCAAACTATAATGATATAATGGCTTCGTTTAATAGAGTTGTGAGAAAGTGATTATAGATTATAACTTAACATATTATAACTTACAACTGTGAACACATGCTGAGTAACCTGTTTGGTGTAACTATGAGATTATAAATTTAAGTATCAAAGTAGCGTTTGGTAAATAACATGTAAAATAATTTTTCACTGTATAATTGTCATTTTTGACCGCATAAGATATAAAATTTGTGATTTTATTTATAATACATTTTCTTCTTCTTTTTTTTCATTTTATTTTCTTTTCTTTTCTTTTTCACCTTATTTTCTTTTCTTTTTTTTCTTCTCTTCTTTTTTTTGTTAATTTTGTTAAATTTATTAATTCATTAAAATTAATATTCATGTTCTAATTTATATTAATGTTGTGATTTCATTACATGTTATTTTTTATATATTCATTTTAATTATTTATATCTGTATTTCTTTTCTTTAGTATTATCGTTAATTTTGATTTTAGTATAAAAATTATCAATTTGCTCATCAATTATTAAAATTAGTATCAATTATTAATTATTATTATTATTATTATTATTAATTTGTTCATCAATTATAGCTTTCCGCTTAATACTTCAAATTAATAAAGGGCATTTAAGTAATTTGGCAATACTTCAAATTAATAAAGGGCATTTAAGTAATTTTGCCCCTTAAGTTTTAGTTTTCCGCTTAAGCTGAATGAATAAGCACCCCGGAAGCTACTCAGTCAAAAATTACTTTTTTGGCTTAATTTAAGCTACAAAAAATGATTTTAAGCTCTATCAAACATACCAATTGTAACTGAAGTTAAGCTAAAAGTTGAAATAAACAGCTTTTAAGCTGCACCAAACAGGCCTAATATCTAATTTCAATTTCAATTTTCCACATTTTATAGTTTACAATATTTAATTTGGGATTATCATTCAGTATTCTAATAGAAAAAAGCGTACACAAAATTCATCATAACATTGTAATGGCGACTGTGATTTCGACTTCCGACGCAACAAGAAGTTTAGGTGTTGGCGACATGTCCTATGATGCCGCATACTGGCTGCGGAGGAGTGTTCGTGAATGCGTTGTTGTACGTGGGCGATTTTGACAGATTGAGCAAACTCCACCGACTTTTGGATTCTCAACAACAATGGTGGTAGAGGAGGATATAAAGATGATTCTTTTGGAGAAATTTGAAACCCCAGAGTGGAGAGGAAGAGAGAGGGGGGAGAGAGAGAGAAAGAATGACAGAGTGAGTGTGATTAGGACTGTGTAAAATACCGTCCAATCTGTTAAAATCGCACCGATCCGCATCAATTCGCACTGCTCTAACCGCTAACCGCGGTTTAAATTTTAAAATTTATAATCCGCCAACCGAATCGCTCCGCTCCGCCATAGTTAATACATACATATTTGTTAATTTCTAATAAAATATCAATGTAAAAATAAGTGTGAAAGAGATTTAAGATATGAAATTTATTACAAATTAGTGGTTATATATATGAAACATATTATATAAAATTACTTTGTGTTATATATCTAAAAAATATTATACAAATTAGTGTTATATATTATGCAAATGTATGATAATTAGTTAAAATATTGTTCAATCTGCCAATCCGCCAAAACCGCCCAAATCGCAATTTGTCAATCCGCTAACCTGCCATTCGGTTTATAATTTTACTCTCAAACCGTCCGAACCGCACTGCGTACACCTCTAAAGCTCCGTTTGGGAAGTGGGTTGGCTTTTTGATTTTTTTTGCTATTTTAGCCTGGGTTAAAAAGCTTGGTTTGGGAAGGTTTTTTTTGACTTTTGACTCTTTTGACTTTTATGTGAGAGAAGAGTGTAATGATTATGGATTGGATGTGATGTTTTGTTTGTTGTGGCTAAAATAGCCTATTTTATTTTTTGTGACTATTTTAACTCCAAAACCACTTGTCAAACACCACCTTAGTGTGATGTATGAATGTGGGTAAGAGACTTTAGTTTACAAAATAAATATTATAGACATCTCTCGTTACTAAAAGTTTGAAAGGGATGTTAAACTAAATATCTATTTTATCTATTTTAGTTTGGCCATTTTTTTTGTTAGGGGGATGATAATTGATATATATATTTTTGTAATTGATTTAATAATTGTAAAAGAAAAGAAAAGAAATTATAATTTAAATATAACATTTTATCTTATTAATTATTTTAAGGGTAAATTATAAATATATATTCTGAGATTTGATTAAAATACGAATTACCCCATGTGATTTTAAAAATTACATTCCACCCCTTAAGGTTTCTAATTTTATAATAAATCGTCTATTTTATTAATAAATCATTAAGACAATTAACAGTTTTTAAAGATGTTAAAAATATGTTTCAATTAATAATTTAGATAATTTTATTATTGTATAGAAGAATAATTATAAATTTTATTTTTTTAGTTAATTTTGTTAAATAAAAAATTATAATAAGAAGATATTTATAATTTTTTAAATCAAAAAAATAATTTATATTTTAAACAAATTTCAAAAAATATATTTATAATTTACCTGATTTTAATTTATTTTATGTTTATTAATTATTTTAATCCAAACCCAGCCTCCAACAAGGCCATAACATTATTACATTAGCGTTACCGGAAAATAGAGAGAGTGAGAGAGGAGAGAGAGAGAGGAGTCCCCGTTAATATACGCATCGTTACCAGCGAGAGAGAGAGAGGGATAGCTCAGAGCTGTGAAATTCAACAGATCTTCGATCCAAGAATTGTCGAAGAAGAAGAAGAAATGCTGCCCACCGCGTCAAAAGGCCGTACGGCCTCCAACGTTCGAGCCAATCCCGTCTTCCCTCAGTACCTCCGAAGAATCGTCAAGGTTCCAATTCTCCTCTCTCTCTCTCTCTCTCTCTCTCTCTCTCTCTCTATATATATATATATATATGCATACATATATATTTATATATATGGCTATAACAAATTTCAGGAGTCGAACTAGATCTGATCTCCACCTTAATCATTTTTTTAAATATTTAAATTCAGACAAGAATTGAATTTTTTCTCCCTTTTTTTACTGCTAATTTTCCATTACTGACAACACATTATATAGGAAGAAGTGATATATCTATTTGCAGTGCGGTAATCAGCTAAGGGATTCTGATACTGAGTTTAGGAGCTCAATTCTGTGATCTAAATTTTGGGGTTTTGGGGTTTTCTGTAACGTGTGATGCTTTAACTAGTTTTGTGAAGTAATTTAGATCTCCAGGCGGAATTTGAGTGTGTTCATATGATGGAATATCCATGAAAGATTTCTCATTTTTTTTGGTTGTATCTAGTGATGATTAAATGAATTTTTATTGTTAAATTAAAAAACTGTATACGTAAGAGTTTAAATAAAAAGAAAATAAATTATTATCACAAAAAGGCAATTGAATAAGTGGAAAATCTTTGAAGGATTAAAATTAGTATAGCTCAGTACTTGACTGTTAGCCCCTCCCAAACCCAAAAAAAAAATTAGAATTGATGAGGTGATAATTAAAATGGGTGTAATTATGGTGTAGCTTTTGTTGTTTCCTTTGGCGGTATAACTCACCCCTGCTTCACTTTTTAAATAGTATTACCTTGGTGAGAGAGGTTATGCTATGAATAGTGTATGTTGTTACACAAACATTTTAATTTATATATCTTAAAACAGAATATAATGATACATTGAGGAATTTCATCTTTGGAAGGGTGGGAGAACCTATCTTCACTAGATCACTTCAGCATTGTGAATTGGAGACTGTAGGTGAGTTTTTGAACTTCTTTATGGGATTGCAGTTGATAGGAATGGGGTGGATTGGTTGAGGTGGAATCATGGCAGTGAGATATTCTCAGTGAAATCCTATCAATGTCTAGTTTCCATTCCTTCAAAGAGAATTGAAAGTTTGGAGTACCAAGTAAGTGGCAATTTCTATATGGATAATGGATAACTACTTTAGACTCCATTCTTACTATGGATAACTTCTAAGAGAAGAGGCTTCAAACTCAGTTGTTGATTATTTGTGATGTAGTAAAACGAGTAGTGGAGCTTGCTCTTGGCCATTTTTGAGGTTCAGTGAATGATGCCAACTTCTGTCTTTATGCTCGTAAAGTGTTTGGGGGGAGTGTGCATGGTGAAGAGGAAGAAGAAAGAATGAATGGTGGCACTTTTGTATATCATGTGGTGCTTGTGGCAAGAGAGGAATTGTGCACTTTTGAGGATATGGAGTGGGGGATGCAAAATATAAAGATGTGTTTATTGCACAGTTTTTTTTTTGGGTGGAAAGGGTTTATTTAGTTATTTATTTTTTGCGAATCCTCTCTTGCTCTTGTTGATTTTATAGGAGAGCTCAATTTTTGTGTTGAGCTTTTTTAAGTTTTATAGGATTTTTGTAATTATACATGTGTAAAAAGGTTGCACCCCTTTTGACTTTTTTAATAGAATTTTTATTTATTGGAGGAAGAAAAAAAAAAATAAAAAAAATCACCTTGTTTGGTTTAGTTTTTGAAAACTGTTTTTTTGTGTTTTTTTTTAATTTGTGTTTTTTGGTCTTTTAGTGAATGTTTTGTTTGTGAAAAAAATCTGAAAACATTTCACTAAAAACAAAAAAAATGGAAATCTGCTACCTTTTGCCTTCCAATGAATATTTCTGGGTGTTAAAAATTTAATTGAAATCATACACAACTTGTTTTCTCACGTGAAATCTCATGCATTCACATGTATATCAAAAGTGTTCAATTACACCTATTTTTCTTTTTTATTTTCTCCCTTCTTAATTTATTTCTTTCGGCTGGTTATTTGTAGTGGCAACAAATGGATATCGAATATACTTTTTGGCAAATGCTTCATTTGTGCACCTCGCCTAAAGTTGTGTATGTATCCATCCTTTTCTACCTTTTTTATTATTGTTGTTATTTTGGTTTAATTGTATTAGTTGTGGCGGTGGTAGTAGTTATTCTTATTGTGAATGTTTATACATATAAGAGTTGCCTTGTGGATGGTAGAGAGAGAATCAAATCAAATTTTTTTTTTTTTAATCGTTGGGTCAGATTATTGTATCTGTTAGAAAGGTAGCATAATCCTTGGACTCTAAAGTACTGGCTTGTGGTGATCATATAGCATTGACTGGACCACCTTTTACTTTGAATAAGTTACACCAATATGTTGGTTGGACAAGTGCATATCTTGCTCTTTAACGTGAGCAGAATCAAATTTATAAGCCTTTAAAGGCTCAACTTTCGGTTTTGTGTGACCACACTGTCATGTATACTCCATCTTGGTTAGGGATACATATCACCTATCTCAAGTTGTCTAGAATATACTGGTCATCATTATTTAAAGTGAAAAAGTCTGCCATTGGCAACACCTTGTTTACCTGATAGGCTGTTACTTGGGCTTGTGGGTAGTTGCAGGTATCTGGGGTTTACCCTGGTGGGGTGCATCCAAATAGTGGCAGTGTCTTAGAAGGGTTCCACGTTGTCAAAAAAATTAAAATAAAAAAAAAGAGAGAAAAAAAAAGTGAAAAAGTCCGAAGTATGTGTGCTTTGACATACTAAACAGTTTATATCATTCAAATGGATCTTCAAGGAATAGGGTCATGATTTTTGAAACGGATATATATCATTTGGAGGATTTGTGGTCAATAGGTAATGGACCATCTACTTTGGTTATTTATTATGATGTTAGTAAATTCTGAGTAACTGTTTGAAAATTTACAGAGAAAACATTTCAAATCTGTCTAAGCATATTGATTTGATATTGCCCCTTTGTTTAGGTGGCACTGGCACCCGACCATGCCGCCCAATGGCGGGTTTTTATCCACTGTACAACTGCAATGTGCTTGTTATAGTTTTTGTTGAAGAAGATAGACCTCTCTCTAGTCACACTTGCTAATGGAAAATGTGGACTTCATTACCCAATTGAAGTAAGAGGCTGGAGGTCCATTATCTCCATCAACATATATAAGTTCTGTTAGTCTCTAATTTTTATTTATGTCTCCAATTGTTGCCAAATTGAAGAATTGGGCATATTGAGCTACCACTGGAGCTATTTCTCTTTCCCCAAGGTGTATATCTCTGTTATACCGGCATAGGGACCATCTTATTCCGCATGCATAGGGGAGTCGACAACACCAACAACCCCTCCCTCCTCCCTCCCCGTGTTACCCTTTAAAAAAGAAAAAGTTATGAAAAAATGCTTGCCTCGATGTTGGTTTAACATCACTGTTTCACTCTCAGATGACTTCTTTACTGCCATTTAAACAGTGGAAAGCATTGTTTAAGTGATGTAGGTTTACAATATTTTCTATTTTGAATTTTGATTTAATTTTTTAATCAAACTGTAGGATAGAAAAGATTGTAACAGAAGTAATAATAGTTTAATTTTTACCCTCTGTGGTTCGTTTTATTCCTTTGATAGGTTACTGGACTCATTGCAACAGAAATAATAATTAAAAAGTTTTTTTCTTTTTGCTTGTTTATATACTCCCTTCTTGTTCCTTTATAACATACAACATTGTTGAGAATGTTACACCTAAAAAAAAAACATTGTTGACAATGAGAGCTTTTACTAGTGTTTGTTTAGCTATGAAGCATGGGTACTTTGACAAACATGCCTTACTGTACCGCGTACTTATCAGCGTATGGTACTTCGTATGGTATTTTTGCATACGTACTAAGTACACGAAATATGTATCTAAATTTTTTCTTCTTAATTTTTGACGTGCCCAGACGTACCTAGTATATATCCAAGCCATACCGTATCTCGGTCGAAACAATATTTTCTCCTACTACTGAAATAAAATTCCTTTCACTAGACTTATTTTTTATTTTTAGTTTTATGCTTATCATGATTTAAAAATTAGGCTATGGTTTGCAAGTTATTTGGTATAATGACATTTAATTTTGATTTATACCTTTACTTTTGGCATTAAATGTTAATTGTAGGTTAGATCTTAACAAATTAAATCATTTAATTAATTTTTGCATTACTCCAAATTAAAAATAAATATTTTTGTTACAAATGTACCAAGCCATACCTGTACCTTACTTTTTTTTGAATTTTGCGGTATCGGCGTATCCGTATTGTATCAATATTAGTATTCATATTTACCCGTACCCATGCTTCATAGATGTTGAGGTAGCAAAGCTATCCCATTGATTTTTATTTCTAAGTTTATCACCATCAATCTTGAATCTTGAAAGATTTTAAATTTTGTGAGAAGTGATGGGTACTTCATTCTGCAGTTGTAGTTATTGCTTAAGCCATCATTGCTGAATGCAGTTATGGTAATTTCTACTAGGATTGTAAGTTCTTGTTAGGTTACTTTGACCTCTGTTGAATCAAAATCATATGGAGACTCATTCAGTGTTTAACTGAATGTTGTCTGGAGAATTCTAATTGTATTGGTTCTGATTTTTTGCATGTGGAATTATATGACTATACAATGGATGCAGCTATCAGCACACTAAGTACCATAAGCGTAAGTCTGCCTTTGATCTTCTAGCTGTCATTTAGTTTGTTTTGATGAATGCTTTAAAGTGAAATTTTAATATGTTGAAATCCTAACAATTGCAATTAGATGCTTCAAGATAAAATTATTTTAAATGCTTAAATAAAATACAATAGCCAAATCAAACACAAAAACAAGAGTCTCCTCGTTGGAAAGCTCTGACATTGGGCCAACCAAGCAAGATTCTACATGCAAAGTGAGCATGCTCTTTCTTACTGTTAAGTGAAGTTTACTTTTTAAAGCAGGCATTTTTATCCTGTAAAAGTTAGCCTTGAAGAGATTGACTACCTGTAAATTCATTGAAACTGTGAACTTCTTTATAATTTTTCAAATATATACACATATGGTACTATGATTTTATTTAGACTTAATTATAAATATATTTGAATAATGCAAGAGCTAACAGTTCCTACCCATTCTTTTGATAATATCCATCAATATTATTACTTTCGGAAAATTATGGTAAAGTTTTTTTAAAACACTTTGAAATTCGTAATTTAAGCTGAATTTGTAATCTTGTTAGTTTGTCGATTTTGTCTTCTTTGTTTTTTTGCCTAAGTTGGCATAGCTTCTGGTGAGTTAAGTCAAGTCTCTTTTATGCAACTTCTTCACTTGATTTTTGCTTGCACCAGAACTTGAGGATTTAGGTGACAACTCATTTGTCAAACTCTGTGGACTAAATTTTCTGCTTGAGTTTGCTCCTGAGTGTTATGTGTCTCTATAAACTAATTGAATGTGGAAATTCTAATTTTTTTTTTTTTTTTGTATGAGTTGGCATTAAATAGTTTTTCACCCTTTTTTTTTTGTCTCAGAAACTAAGAATCAATGGGCACGTGATGATCCAGCCTTCATTGTAATCTGCAGTTTTCTTTTGGCCGTTTCTACTTTGTCTTATTGTGCTGCGTAAGTTTCCCATATATTCACCAATCATTGCTAATTTCCGTAAAATTGATGTTTAAGAATCACAAAGTACAATAACCCTGGTATGTTTCCCTTAGCCACCGAAATCTGGTTTGCAAGGGAATCCTTGTCAGTTTTAACCATCCAGAGGGATTCGGAAAGTTTAAAGGGTGCTTTATCATCGATCCACTAATTCTTTTCAAATTAAGTTAAATTTGTGACTCAAAATTATCTTTTATTGTACTTTGAGAACTTTCAAATCTGATTTATCCAATTTGTTATATAAGCATTTCCGTGCTAATTTTTATCCCGTTTTGCTGTCTTATATGCATTTCAGGTATGACCATAGCACAACACATGCAGTTTTTGTCATTATTTCAGTATTGCTCATTCATTTTTTACTTATCGGAGTAGTTCTGGCCACATGCTGCTGGTAAGAGCCACGACTAATATAAAATACTTGATTACTGCCTTATAATTGGAGGTACTCTTGTATTGTAGTTAACTACACCAACATAGTCATATTACTCAATGCCAGAGCCAAAATTGTGGGTTTCTAGGAGGGGTAAACTAGGTATTAGGATTTAGGCCTAACCTTGATACTGTTTGCACATGTTCATGCATTATATATAATTGTAAACTATTATGACGCGTTTTCCTTTAATCGAAAAGAAAGAATTTTATGACAAGAGAGAAAATTACCAATTTGTTTGTGGACTGGTAAGAAAAAAAAATTCTGACAAAAGAAAAAATTGCAAGTTTAGGGCCTCTTCTGACGAGGAGGGCATACCTTCACCTTACACCATGCCCAGAACGGAAACAAAGCAACAATTTTGATAAATCACATCCCAGTAGCTAAAGAAAACCTTATGAAAATAAATTCACTTGAACCTTGAATTTTATCAGCTATACAAGGTCATTCAAGCTTCCAGTGTACTGACAGATTCCACTAATTTTATCAGCAAGTGAAGGGGGAGTAGAGTACATCAATGCCAATACCACACATAATGCTATCCTTATCCTTGTAGTCATTCTGAAAAAATTCTGTTTGCCAATGTGTATGCAGGTTCCTGACAAATAATTATCTTCGAGAGGAAGCTCCAAATAGTCATGTGGTGGAGCAACGAGTTGAATGGCAAGTTCAGAACTTTTAACTTCCCATGTTCAGAGTTTTTGTTGAAGTTCAAATGAACCTTTTTCTTGTCACTTTTATGCTTGTCTTTGTGTGGGTTTCAGTAATGCAAACTGACTAATGGCAACCCATATCTGTGACAATTTTTAGTTTTAGTTATTTATCAAAAAAATAAAAAATAAATAAAAAAAATCACTTTGTTTTGTTCTAGTTTTCAAAAAATTCTACTCTTTTTCTTTTCTTTTTTTTTTTTTGTATTTTAATGTTTTCAGTGAATTTTTTTTAATATTTTAAGCATTTTTTTTTTCATTTTTAGACACACCTAACATAAATACACTTAAAAAGTATAATATTTGTGAAAAAAATATTTTAAAAATACACTAAATACCAAAAAATACAATAAGAATATGAAAATTCAGTACATTTTTTTTTTGTATTTTTATATATTTATTAATTTTTAAAAATATTTTTTCACAAATATTTTACTATTTAGATACATCTAAATAAGGTGCATCTAAAAAAGTAAAACATTTGTTTAAAATTTAAAAAATATTCACTAAAAACAAAAAAATACGAAAAATGAAAGATACAATTTTCAGAAAACTGAATTTAGAGAAGTGAAACCAAGCACATTGAATAGTCTTAGGCGGTGTTTGGGAAGTTTGTTTTTTGGTTTTTTTTTACTAAAAGATAAATTGGTTACAAAACCAAAAAAAACAAATCCAAACAAAATATCACATCAAACCCCATAATCATTTTATTTTTTCTCTCACAAACATTAAATCCAACCACAAAAAAACCTAACTATCTTCCCAAACACAATTTTTTTTTTCTCTAATAATATCCTACAACTAAAAAAATCAACAAAAAAACCCACTTCCCAAACACCCACTTAGTTTATTAACATGAATTATCTTGCTTTATTTGAGCATTTCTGTTCTAATGATTTTATTTATTTATTTTTTTTGTGCTGATTCACTTTGTTTGGGTCACCCCTCCTGAAGGCTGTATGCTTTTGATGTACACTGCAACTCTTTCTTCCCGATGTTCGTCATGCTTTATGGTAATTGTTGCTTGCACCTGTTTTTTCAATTGCAATTTGTGCACCAGAATGTTACTGATGTCTTTAAATTTTGTGGCAGTGATACATTATTTTCTATCACCACTTCTGGTTGCTCATGGTTTCATCCCAGTTTTGCTATCAAATTTGCTTTTTATGGTGGCTGCATCGTACTATCATTACCTTAACTTCTTAGGTTATGATGGTAAGTTCAATTTAATCTCGCATGATATTGCTTCCTTTATAAATGAAATGAGGAATACTTGGGTTTGTATGATTGGATTGAGCATTCCCATGTACATTTGGCATGGCAAGCATGTGAATTTAGAAGTTCCGTGATGGGTTCTGTTACTTTTACATTCTCAAAAATCCCAGTGAGATTATGCTAGTCGATTGACATGTAATTTTCAGTTTTCATTTTAATTTTTAATTTTTTTAATTTAATTTTGCTGACAAAAAGAAAACATGCTTTTATTTATTTGGACCGAAATTTATCATGTCTACTTCATTGACAAGGATCCTCAAACATGGCTGCAAACAGTGTCTTTTATCCATAGAGAAGCCTGACAACTGTATGGTGAATATGATCTAGACTTGGCTAGTATGGTTAGGGTGCAGATGTTGAAAGATCTGAATTTCATTTGTATAAACACACATTAATGTGTACTAATTGGGCGTTGTAAAAAACTTGTGACAATATTCAAGTTCGAATCTCAATTTGACAGATCCAACCCAAACCTTACAGAGTTCAAATTCAATAATATCCCTGGAAATCCAAATTGATCAGTCTAGACAAATATAAAGAATAAGGATTTAACATACAAGTTAATACTAGAGTTATATCAAATTATATATAGCTTGTTATATCCTCACAACATACAGTGATTGGATCTTAATCAAATTGAATATATATGTAGATTTGAGTTCGATTCTGTTATAGCTGGATCTCTTCAACTGGATTCTGATTTGAACCAAACGCTCTAAATTTTTGCCACCAGATTTGGATTCAGGATTGGATATTGATTCTCAACCACTGCCCTGTTTGGTTTATTTTACTGATGGCCTTTCTCATCTTGTATTTCCTTCTGCAGTATTGCCCTTTCTAGAGCGAACCACTTTTTTCTTGTATCCCATTGGCGTTGTCATTGTCCTTTCACCTATCTGTGAGTGTTACATGCTAGCCCTGATTCTGTTTTTCACTTTGTGAATTGTCACCACGGAAAATCATCTTCTTGTTTTACTTTTGCAGTGATTTTGAGTGGTTTCAATCCGTCAAGATACTTCATGAACATGTACTTCAGTCAATGGCAATGATTCACCATGGCTAATGCAGGAACACAAGATGGCACATATAATGATGACGTGGGGGTGGAATTAGTTGAGACAGTGCAGGAACGCAAATAGGCTTTAGTGAATGTATGATTGGTTCTCTTATCCGTGTAAACGGAAAGCAAGATGACCATGCGGTTTGTTGTTATTGTCTATAGTCCTTTTAATTGCTGCGAACGAAAATCCAAAACAAAGTGATGTCGTAGGCCTAAATTGTTTTTCCCTGTGGCCGAGAAAATCAATCAAGTAGTTTGTTGAATGTAATGATTTTGCCTCTTCTCATCAAATATATATTTTTTCTCTTTCGTTTTTCACCCATTTAGGAAAGATTAAAGTCTTACTATCCCAGTTAGAAAATTTTTAACTCTCAGATCAACCTTTAAATGCCATGGTTTATTTTGGTATTTACATTGTCTTTCATTTTACAATTTATGCTTTGGACTGAACCAATTTTTGATGAGACCATAAAGCTGGTATTGCTTTATGTTAGTACCCAAATCTTGCTAAACGGCCCAGCTAAGCTGTCAGGTTGAGAATTTGTTTGTTTGTTAGTTTTTGTTTTCGTTTGTGTGTATATACATATATAATATATTGCATTGCTATGGCAATTGTATCTTAAGGTAGTGTTTGGTTCACGTAGAATGGAATGATCATTTTAAAATGTTTATTCTCACATTTGGTTCACTAAAAAATTATAGAAATGCATTACACATGAAATTATCATTTACCATTGTAATATTGTGTTTGGTTTACTGAAATGAAAATGAAAATGAAAATGAAAATAAAAATGGAATGGAATGGAATGTTTATCCTTTAGCCTCCTGATGAATGACCATTCACTTATAATGGTAAATGATAATTCTATTATAAAGTGTGTTTTTTTAATCATTTTTTAGTGAAACAAATGCGATAATGGATATTATAATGAAATGATCATTCTATCTTACTTTTATTTCAATGAATCAAACAAAAATAATGATTTCATAAGAAAGGCTATAAAATTTAACCAATCTGTTTTCATTCCAATAATTTTACTACCTTCTTATTTTCATTTTAACAAGCTCAAGGAACATGGCTCCCACCGAATGGTAGTTAATTAGGCTAATTCAATTAGTTAATCATGTACATTAGGGTTTAAATTCCGACTATGGACAAAAATTGATACTTTTTTTTTCTTATTTTGTTAAGTTGATTATTGGCCTTCCATAATTGTTAAATTATAATTAACCATATGTAATTATTTACATAATTGTAAATAATTTTTTTTTAATTAACCAAAAAAATAAAAAAATAAGATAAACGAATGGTTCTAAAAATGCGTGTTACAAAAGAAAGTTGGACATACATATTAGATATTATTTAAAATTTGATTATTATAATATTATTGTTTTGGCTGACTCAAAATTCTGAATCCGATGATGGAGGAGGAAATGACAAGAATGATGTTCAATGAATCCATGTATAGATGCTTTGTTTGAAAAGTTGTTCTGCACAAGTGGTTATCCAAAATAATAAAAATAAATAAATTCAAAGGTTGGTGGAAGAGAAAGTGAAAGGTGACACTGTGTTGTTGATGATTCATACCTAAAATTTCAATTTTTTCCACTGAGTGCTATGAGTGGATCCATCTAGGGTTGATGATGATTCATACCTTAAGGTTGGTGGAAGAGAGTGAAAGGTAACAATGGGTCCATTACTATTTTCTTTAATTTAGAAAGCAAAATTGCATATAAAAATCTTTTGGATTTGCTTGGGTAGCATTTTTCTATAATAATATTATAATGTGAAGAGAGTTGGTGAGAATTTCCCGTCTCCAGTAAGGTTATTTTATTTAGCTGATATTTTATTAAGGGTCCTATCAATTAAAGATTAAATAATGCTAACAAAATTTGAACAATAGTACACATTTTATATGCTTATCAATTACCGTCCATTGTTGCCAGTGACTTCTTATATTTATTACCGTCAACTCGTTGAAAAAATTACTGAAGAATACGGACAACATGAACAAATAAATAGATAGATAAATAATAATACTAACAATAACAATAATATAATCTTCCAAAAAAATAGATAAATAGGGGCTATCGTCTCAAAATTTTAAATTTGAATTTATTGTTGGGTGTCTCATTTTATTTGTCAACATAATGAATTTCACTTGGTTACGTATATATCTCCAATACATCAAAAAAAAAAAAAAATACAAATAAAACAAAATAATAAAAATAAATCATCATTGCTTGATCTAAACTCACCAACCATGCATTGCAAAAGGTGTGAAAACTTCAATATCAATTACATTTTGTACTGGGTCTTCAATGTAGCCCCTGTTTTGATGGAGACAAGTGATCCAAAACACACCATGGAAAAAGATGTGAATTCTGAAGTACTATACAGTCAAAGAACAAGGAAGAGGCTTCCATTAATCAACCATGTTTGGTATCTTTCATTTTCATTCTCAAAGCCCAATAGTATAGATCACAACAACAAAAACAAAAACAAAAACAAGAACAAAATATTAATAATGTTATCTGAAATATTACATCACCACCACCACCACAACCTCATTTGTCTTATTGAGAAAGAAAGGACACATAGCTTTCATTCCTCATTAGAAGATTTAAAATTTCATCACAAAGTTTGAAACTCACATAATCGGCCACAACCCATGAGGTGAGTCGTGTCCGGTTCTATAATAAGTTTTGCGTGTTCTTAAACTTTTTCAAATTAGGGTTTTTACTGATCAAGTTTGCTGGCAACAACATCGACGACAAATCTGTATCGGACATCATTCTTCTCAAGCCGCTCAACAGCGGTGTTGATGTAATCCATCTTCACCACTTCGATCTGAGAAGTAAGACCCTTTTCTCTGCAGAACTCAAGCACCTCCTCTGTCTCCTTCATGCTCCCTATGAAGCTCCCTGTTATGATCTTCCTCCCTTCATTCAAAATTCAAACAAAACAAAAACGCACCATCATTTACCACAATCCCACTCCAAAAATCTCATTATTCACTCAATTTTTGGGGAAAGCATACATTTTTGTTCAATTTTATACAATTAGTGAAGATAAAAGATGTAAATTTATAGCAAACTAAGAAAGATGGAAAAAAATACAATTAACCCTATATTTTTTCAATATAACATCTTTTTTGGGTGGCTTGTGATGTTCTAAATTAACGCACTTTCTAACTTTTTATAAAAAAAAAATGTGTAGAATAGTAGAGAAAGTGAGAAAAAAAAATAAAGAAGAGATGTTGATACATGTGATCCAAATAAGCATATACAAAAACGGTACATTTTTTTAATGCATGCCAAACAAGCACTTAAGACTAAAGCCACTAAAAACTAAACTAATGCAACGGTGTGTAAATATTGAAATAAATACAGATAAATATATATTTTACTTCAAAATATATGACTATTATTTTTTTATTCATATGACTTACAAATTACAAATTGCCGTTAAAAATAACCAAACGATTATGTGAACTAAAAAAAAGATGTCAGTGTAATTATGTCAAAAAGCATAGAATAATTATTTTCTCTCTAAATCTCATGAGAGGTAAGTGCAATTTACCCTAAATTAAATTTGAACAAGTGCAAATACATTCATGTTTATATTATATGAGAGAGAGAGAGAGAGAGAGAGTGGGGCTCACCAAGCATGACCACAGGGGTGAGAAATTGGAGTGGAGTGTTAATAACACCCGTCAAGATCAACTTCCCATCAAGCTTCAACAAAGAAAGGTATGGCTCAAGTGGGTGGAACACTGGCACCGTGTCGATTATGTAATCCAGTGAGTCAGCGATTTCTTGCATCCGAGTCGCGTCAGAGCTAATCACGTAATCGTCTGCACCGAGCTCTTCCAGAGCCTCCTCTCTCTTCCTATCAGATGAGCTTATCACTGTCACGTGATGTCCCATAGCCTTTGCTATCTTCACCCCCATGTGTCCCACCCCACCCAGGCCCAATATGCCTCCTCTCAGCCCACTCTCTTTCAGCCCAAAGTGAACCATTGGGCTGTACACTGTCACCCCGGCGCATAGTAGTGGCGCCGCCTGTTCTACTGCCATCCCTTCTGGAATGTGCACCACAAACCTACCCACCAAAAAAATCAAAATCATTGGAAATTATTTAGTATTAAATAACCTAAATTTTAAATTTTATTTGAACAAATATTGAAAATAATAACTAGAGAAAGTCTATCAATAGATAAATGGATAAAATTTTGTTCATATAAATATTCGGCATTCTATTCTGTAATTAATTTGCATCAAAAGAGTGGTGATTGAGAATTCTAAAAATAGAGGTAGCAATGAGAAAAAATTAAAAAAAAACTAAAACATCACATTAATGATGGGCCCATTCATTGAAACTTTTTTAGAGCCCTTAATTTAAAACTCTCAAACATTTTTGTTATTGTAAAACCCTTTTAAATTTATGTAACTATAAAAGCAAATGTTCCTTATACATTTTTAATGTGATTCATCTTTAAAAAAATAAAATGAAATTAATTTGAAGGGTAAGTATGTCCTTTTAGTGTATTTAGATAATGGTAATTATATAATTACATAAACATGACATTCAATTTGAAAATTTTCATAGAAAAATCACTCTTTAAAGTAACCGAATTTTTTAAAGAACATGTGCACAAGAATTTTGGTGCAATGTGGCTTGAATGAAAAGATCTTGGGTATTCGCAGGAAAACGGGTTTAATTGTATGCATCGCAGACACATGATGAAGCATGGAGGTTAAATTGGGGAAGCGTTAGATTACTTTTGATCAGTGACCATGGAGCCAGCAAAGCCACCTTGGGTGGGTTTACCATCGGTGTAGATATCATTGTAGGACCAGATCTTCTTGTTGCAGTATTGCTCTTTGTCTGATTTGCAAGGTCTACAGTTTCTGCAGCATCCAACGATGCATCCAACTCCCACTGTGTCTCCTATCTTGAACTTGCTCACATTGGATCCCACCTCTATCACTTCACCAACCACTTCATGCCTTAAGTTACAAAAATAAAACCAAACGTTATTATAGATAAACAAATGTAGAACTTTTTGGGTGATTAGATTATTTAGAATATATATTAATAATATTTGATTAACTTAATTTTTTAAATAAAATCTTTTTTTATGGATAGTACAAAATAAATGGTGAGCTCACTGGACACGAGGATTTTTTTAAAAAAATATTAATTTATTAATAAAATTAGATTATAATTAAAATATAGTTTGACAAGTAATTTTTTTAGCTAAAAAAATAATTCTTTTCAATGGTTTTCAGAAATTTGATATGAAGAATAATCACTTTAACATTAAATCTTTAACAGAGCAATACTTAAAAAGAAAAAATTGAAGGGGACAAAAAAAACCCTAGACTGTTGCATTTCACCCAGGAAGTGAAACAATTGAACAAAGCAATTACTATGCTTGTACATTCAACACTTCATACCACTTCACTCAAAGTAAAAATCCAAGAAAGACCAACTCTTTTATTGCTTCAATAATAAATCTTTAACAAACCAACACTTGATATAGAAATATTTAGAAGAAAAAAAAAAGAAAGAAACCTGGATATAGAGCATGCATACCAGTGACTTGCAGGGTAAATGCGAGTCCATTCTTTAGGTTTTCTCTGATGGAATCTCATACTACAACAAACAACAGATGTCTTGTTCCAATTCAATCCCCAAGTGTTACCAACTAACAATTAAAAGGAATTGAAGATATATAACAAATAATTTAACATGTGAAGTAAAAATTATTTTAATTATAAAAAGATAAAATAAATTAAAAATTAATAAAATAAAATATAATATTTAAATTATAATTATTTTATTTCTTTTTATAAAAATGAAAAAATTCATCCCGAGATTTTTTGACCTAAATTAAAATAGTTAAAGGGAAAGCTAAAAAAAATCAAAATCGCTTTCCAAACCAACACACTATTATATACAGAGAGAAAGAGAGATGGGGAGAGAGAGAGAGAGAGAGAGAGAGAGAAATACCCAGGAACCATGGGGTAATTGGACATGCCAAGATCATTCTTGATCTGATGAATATCAGAATGGCAGATTCCACAACAAATCACCTTGATGAAAACATCTTCCGGACCAGTGTTCCTAACATATATATAGCCACACACATACTTTTTCATATCAGGGATTTGATGAGAAAGATGATCAGTGCATGCAATATACATCAATCACATAAACATACATAAAATTAAAAAAACAAAAAACAAAAAACAAAAACTTAAACAACAAATGGAAAGATCGATCTGTTTCCAAATCACTTTGTCCTAATACAAGAGAAGGACTTGGATTACCTGAGAGTGTAAGTATAAGGAGAGAGTACCCCAGAAGGGTCTGTTGCAGCCCATCCTGTTGTTGTTCTTTCGTCCTCCAAGCTACCCATCTGCTCTTACTTTGCCAAGAAAAGTTGCGTCTAGAGGGAGAGAGAGAAAAAGAGGGTCTGTTGGGTAGCAAGAGAGAAGAGACCACTGCTTACTTAAAACAGAGAGACCACTGCTTCATATATGTACAAAGGAAAGGAGGAGGACAGTGTTATTAAAGAAGAAAATTATTAAATATTTCGAGAGATTTATTAGAATTATTTATTTGGTATTATTTCCATTGCTTATCACTATTACCGAAATCACGATTGACTAAGATCTCCTCCGGTCACCACATCGGTATTCGGTAACCCTCTAACCATTATTATTAATATTATTATTATTTTAGAATCATTTTCGATTATCACTATTTTTAATTCTCGATATTCATCTTCAATCACCACCAACTACTTCTTAGAGTTGACAATCACCTCCCAACAAACACCTTCGTCTATCATTTTCAACAGCCAATAATCACATTTTACGGGGCCATCCGTTTCCCTTTCTTTTTTTAAAAATAAAAATTTAAAATACATGTACCAATTATGTTTATGTTTTTTTTTTTTTTGATAAAAATATATATAAACGTATTTAGTATTTTTTGTAAATTAAAAAAAAAAAAAAACTACAAACGCTACCAAATAACTCTCAGTAGTGTCATTTTTTTGCCTCGTAGTCGTAGTATGCCTCTAACTTTTTAATTTTTTTAATTAATTTAATTTTAAATCTAAGTAAAAAACTTAATTTGATATAAATTATTCCAATCATTTTATCACATTTTTATCAAAATCTTTTTAATTTTTTTTTTCTTATCTCAAATTTTCCTTTTCATCAAAATTAATAGGAAAAAAAAAATCTAAATAATGCTTCATATTTTAAATTTTTCATCAAATTTAAATTTGATCAGTTTTCAATTTGAATTATTTCAAAATTTTCATCAATTCGATTGAATGAACATTTGATGAAGAATTAAAAAAAAATTGAACAGTTTTTTGTCAATTTTTTTTTTTAGATTAAAAAGAAAATATACATTGTAAAATCGATAAAAGATCAAATAATTAGACGGAAGAAAATGTGAATGATTAGACATACTCTTAATTACTTAATAACAATGAATAAGAATGTTTTGGTTATAAATTTTTTATTACTCTTATATAATTGATATAAAAAAACTGTTAGATAATGTCTCAATGGGACCACATAATTAAATGTGGTGTTATCATTTATAACAAGCCTACAATTTAAGTGATTCAATTTAGTTAATAGGCTTAAGGGTATATGTGTTATGGACCTAATGTGTAGATACTAGTTGTATAATTTCTATTTCTATGAGGGGCAGAAATAGAAATTAAAACATATTGGTTAAAGTTGGTTTTCATTCCTTTTGAACTTCCACAACCTTTCAGTTTTGAAAACCAATAAATAGAAATTAAAACCAATAATGGTTAAAGTTGGTTTTCATTCCTTTTGAACTTCCACAACCTTTCCGTTTTGAAAACCAATTACAACCTTTAAAATGTTATGGTCCCTATTCATTCCCAAGTGGAAAAGAACACTGCCATTTTTCTTTCTAAATCCTCTCAAGGAGAAACATAAGGCACCAAAGGGGAAAGGATTAGAAGGCAATAACATAATCAATAACAAAGAGTTCATTGATAATCACGCTTCCGTTTAACCGTTCATCAATGGATTCAGGTATGTCATTTTGTCTTGATTTCTTGATAATACACATGGTAAATGATCCAAAGTGTAAGGTTTATATTCTGAAATTTATGTTAACAAAAACTACATAAGTAATGATCCTATGAGTTTATAAAATAATAACAAATTTAAATTTGTTCACGTATTTTAAGAGCATGTAAACAAAATATAAAGCCTACGTTTGAGATATGGGTTGATTTTTTTATTTTTTGGCTATTGGGATTAAAAAATCTTAATTGGGATAAGTTTTTTGACTTTTATGGGAAAAAAATGAAATGATTATGATTTGGATGTGATATTTTATCTTATTAGCTTTTTAATCTATTTTGGATTGTTTTGAAAATATGGTTAAAAGTTAATTTTTTTAATTTTTTTGACTTTTTAAAAAAATATGTAAAAAAATGTGACAGATAATATGACTAAAAATTAGTAAAATGCTCTCAAAATAGCCGTTTGTCTTTTTATGATTAAAATAATAAAAAAAGTTAATGCCAAACATATCCAAAATATAATTGGTTTAAAATTGTAAACTCCTCATCTAAAAAAATTATTAGCTTCATCTAAAATGATAAATTATATATTTTGAATCAATCAAAACTTATATGTATTAAAATTTTAATAATGTCCGAATAAAATCGAAATCGAATAAACTAATGAAAGAAATAAAAGAAAGATAAGAGAAAGTTGGACACCTAAATAAAAGTGACATTTCAGCTAAAGGACAAGGCATGGGGTAGGCAGGCCAGCATCTTCCATATATACTTTATCCCTCTCCCCAATTCCATATCTTGTCTCATAATGGACGACTTTAAATAATAGCTTTAAACCAAAAAGGAAAAAAAATGGCTCAAGGTTCCCTCTCTCAGTTTCCGTAAGGAAAGAAATTTATAAAATTATTTTTTGATATCTAAGGTTCTTAAACATATATCAGAGAAATTTTAATCCTTTATACTATCTTCATCATTTGACCCGCGTCGATGACCACCTCCGTGAAAACGCAGAGGCCACCATGAACGTCCCCTCCGACCATATTCCTTACCTGAAGAAAGCCTTCGACAGACTCGAGACTGTGGTTGGCTGGCTTCCTTCAAGCTTCCGCACCTGATTGGATCATTTACAACTTTGCTCCTCACTGGTTGCCCCTTATCGCCACCAAACTCGGCATGGATGATGATGATAAGGACAGAGTCGATCCAGCGATTACCGAGTCGAGCTGGACATTCGGTGCTGACTTGGACAGTGTTTACTTCTTCGGCAACGATAGAGACAACAGTATACTAAGCGAATTTGGTTGGAATCTTCGACCCGAGTCGGCTGTTAGACGAAGCTTTGCATTTGTGTAGAAAATGAAGTCAGGTATGAGGATCTGGTTTTGCATGGTATTTTTTGAATAGAGAATATGGCCAGTGATGCCATTTGCTAGGTTCTCCTCCTCCTAGTAAGAGACTAGTCATGTTTGAGGTTTGATTACTCAGATTTTCTTCAACGAGAAATTATTTGGTGGATTAAGCAAGCTCCTGGATTTTCTCTGGATTGTGGAGTCTAGAGAAATTCTCTGGAAATATGTTTGGGAATTTTCTCTGGGTTGTGGAGTCCAGAGAAATTCTCTGGGTGAGAGAATTTCTGAAAATAAAGGGCAATGTACTTGATTGACTTTGGGTTACCAGTTGATTGAGATGATGACAATGACTTGGCAAATGGTCATGATCCAGTGCTGAAGAAGTTGCAGAACTCTCCCATTAATGGAAGACTGCAGCGGAAATTTAGGCCACGAATTGGATACGAAACACAATGATAGAAAGAATTTTGAATTTTGTGCTTTTAGAGACCCTGTTTTATTTGTTGGACATCTTTCAAAAAAATCTGTGTTGATCGTAGACAAACCATGGATGGAAGTGGTTAAAACTTTTGATGCCCCACCTGTTCACAGACATATTCATGGGACATAACTGCTTGTTGAAGGTGGTTTTCTAACAGCTTAGGTGGAAGAGAGAGAGTTCAAATGTAGGAGTTGAAGATCCCATTTGTCTGAGAATTTCTCTGGGTCTGGGGAGGCCAAAGAAATTCAAAATTTCTCTGGACCAATTTTCTCTGACTTGAATTTTCTCTGAACCAATTTTCTCTGGATTGATGTTGAGGGACCTTAGACATCATGAAAATATTTGATATCCTTTATACTATAAAATCATAATATCATAGACCTTAAAAAAAATACTCTAAAAAAAAACAAGAAATAAAAAACAAAAAGCCCTAAAACATAAAGGTTGTCAAAAAAAAATTGTGAAGGTTGGTAAATGCTAACAAAAAGAATTTAAATAGCCACACACATCTGATAAATAAATAAATAAATAAACCACATATGAAAAAAAAAACAAAAAAAAATTATAATCAAACTAAATCTAAGATTATTAAGAAGAATATTGTTATTGGTAGAGCTTTGTTCAGCATTGCCTCTTTCAACTATCAAAGTTTATATATGTCCTTTTATTTTGTCAATTAATTTTGAATTTGGTGCATTCAATAATTTCAACATCCAATTACAGTTGAATTTTGAATGATAATTTAAAATTAAGGGATGTTTTAAAAAGATGATTAAAAATTACTTTTTAATTTTTTTATAAAAACATAAATAAATAAAAAATTAAAAAATAACTTTTAAATCACTTCTCAAAATAATTATAAACTGACATTGAGTATATCTTTCTATCTCTCATCTCGTTGTCAACTCACATGTGATCGAGCGCGTCCACCCATTGCAAATTGCCAATTGACGGACTTAAAAATTAGGTAAAAAACTAATATCTATTTTGTATTTGGTAAAAATATTATTTTTGAAAGTTTCAAGTCATATAGAAAAAAAAAAATATACTGCAAAAGAAAAGTCTTATCAAAACCAACTTTCTTGTTGGTATTGTTGTAAATAAGACAATAAATGAAGTAGGACTTAACGTGAGGAGTGGGTTATGGTTCCATCAATTAAAAAGGGAAAATGCTATATGTCCTAAAGTTTTTATAAAATGAATCACTAAACTTTTTATATGGGTACGGGGTTCACAAAAAAGTAAACCCCACATTCATGTGAGAGGTTTGGTCATTTATTTTGTAAATTTTTTTATATCTCTAACATTACTCATTAAAAAGTTATGGTTCCATCAATTAAAAAGTGCACATTTATGTATTTTCATTTACTTTCTTTTATTTTATTTTGTTAAAATTAGAATTTACCCATTTTGTAGAGTTTTCTTGGTTGCATTACTCCTTAAAAACTCAACATAATCAGAAGAATTTTAAGTATTTGATTCTTGAAATATATTTCGAAACATTGTTCATAGTATTTTGGCTATTATTAAATCTTTTTGTACAAAATCACATAAAAAATAAAAATGAGTAAAATTTTATCAAAACAACTCAAAATAATTGACTTATATTTGTCTTTTGTAAATTT